TAATTTTTTCTGAAAGCTTGTTTCAATTCTAAGTTATCTTGAAAGGAGGGGATTTTAGAGAAGGATTAGCAAAAGGACCCTCAACTACACCCTTTGCTATTAGCCTATATGTTGCTTCCGTAAAATGGGGTCCATCCCAATTTATATATTTTGAAGGATCTGAGCAAACTGTTGCAGCAGAACTTCCACAATATATTTGAGCACTAAAACCGTAAGGTTCTCCTTTTCCACAACATGCTTTGAAAGTCTGAATCTTACCAGAAGAAAATCCTACAACACATAAATTAATGAATATGATAAAAATAAATCATAGAAAAATTAGCAATCACATGCAACTGCGTGTTATTCATTTAATAAAAGAAATTAAAATCACAGCCCACCATATTGTTGTGGTGCTTGAAATAAACGTTTGGTAGCACCATAGTAATCAAAATATGTTATCTTAACATGCGGGTTCTTTTGTCTTAATGTCTCTATAGCCTTTTTGAGTTGCTTATTATAGTACTCGATAAAACCATTATAAGCTATTAAACAGCCAAATTGATCATAGTCGCCTTCCTTTTCACTGTTCATGATTGCCAAAACAGCAGAATTGCACCCAATTGGGAAGTTCCCTGGTACCACTAGCTCTACAGCTCCTTCTTCTATTAATTGCTAGCAAAAAAAAATGAAAATTCAATTTCTAAACAAGTGTATTTCAAACCCAAGTTAAATTAAACTATACAATTTTTAGACACAAATTTGATATAACATACGATGGTGGTATTACTAATTGCTTCCACAATTAGTGGAGCTAGCTCCCGAAGTTTTGTTATATTTTTATATGGGATAATTGCATTAATGTCATTCCCACCAATCTCTCCCACCAGAAATAATGAGTTTTTGAAGTAACTATCACACTCTGTCATAGAAAGGAATAAAATTTAATCATCTTGAAACTTTTTCAAATGTTTGGCAAAAAATGACTTAAGAGTTTTGGTAAAACCTTCTTCGCTTTTACAAATAGTGGGTTTAAGCTTCTTAAACCAATCAAGTTGAGTACTCAATGAATAAGCAGCTGCCTCAACATTCATGGATTTTTGTTTCAAAATATTCTGATCAAGCGCAGTTGAACCAGCATATGCAAAATTCACTCCTTTCTTAATGTCTTGCGCTTTGGTGAGACTCAAATAGGGTGGCAACATTGGTAACCCATATGCCTCAGCTACAATTAAAAAGATCATAGGTTAGTGTAATAAACAATTTGTGATTTTTAAGATATAATGTTTCATATACTCTTTTCATACAAGTAAATTGTATTTAAGCTATGTAAAAAATAATAGTACATAATACCAATGAAATCTATGATTAGTCGCCCGTTTGACATACGCCCAGATGGATGCTTAAAGTATGTTGAACCATAAGGACTATTGCTAGGCATAGCTGGATGCTGAGAAGCAGCATTCCCAGTGTCACTTATAGAGTCACCAAAGTTGAAAATGGCTTCATATGGGAGAGGATTGGCATTTGAAACGACATTTCTAAGAAAACCACAAGTGAAGGTTATGCTAAAGAGAATGAAGAATCATGTGTAAAGTTTTCCCCACCTCGTTAAAGGGACCGGCATTGAATTGGTTCACTAGACTTCCACCAGGATCAGTGGACTCTTTCACAACCCTGTCCTCCCGATTTGTAATCCAGTTTGCCACGAGTTGACCTCATCAGCTCACGTCCATCGCGTTGGTGAACGTCCGCTAGGAGAAGAAGGAACCCTTAAGAACCTTCATGGAACGGTTCGGAAAAATGACCCTCTCAATCCGAGACCTAGATCCAGCCGTAGCAATGCACCACCTTATCACGACATTAAGGCCAGGCCCTTTTGTAAACAGCCTCTGTAAAAAGCCGCCCCGAGACCTGGACGACCTTCGGCAAAGGGCTACGAAGTATATGCAGATGGAAGAGTTGGCTGAGTTCAGAAATCAGAACAGGACCGACCTTCTCCTTGGGAAAAAAGAAGCTGAGAAGGAGCATCCTCCGAGAACTCGCCCTCGAGACACATCCGATCGAGAGAGGAACAACAGGGGACCGAGATACACGAAGTATACGCCACTCAACACCAGCAGGACCAAGGTGTTAGAACAAGCCTTAGCCACTGAAGTTCTCACCGTACCCCGCCGGGCCATGACTCCGCCCCATGCGGACAAGACTAAAATATGCCAGTTCCATAGAAACCGGGGACACACCACCGAGGAATGCACAGCCCTTCGAGATCGTATCGAAGATCTCGTCAAGTCAGGACATCTTCAGAACTTCACCCAACCAGCTGGCAGGAAGAGACATGACAACTATCAAGGTAGAAGAGAACCCGGAAGAGGGAACCAAGAGAGAATGCCCCTAAGGCATAGATCCCGGGAACGAAGCAGGACCCTAGATAGAGACGACCAGCAGTGGAGTCAGAATCAAACTAGGAGGGTAATAAACACAATCGCGAGAGGATTTGCAGGAGGAGGAAGCACGTCCTCGGCCCGCAAGAGACATTTGAGGGCGATCAAATCGGTAAATGCCGTAGGGAGGGCAACTTCTATCCATATGCCCCCTATCACATTCACCGATAGAGACTTCAAAGGAGTAGACCCGGTGCAAGATGATCCTATGTCATCAGTGTCGAGATTAACAACTGTGTCGTCAAGAAGACACTTGTCGATCAGGGGAGCTCGGCGGACATCTTGTACTGGAAGACGTTCGAACAGCTCGGCATCCCCGAACAAGAATTGATACCTTATGATAAACCCCTGGTCGGATTCTCAGGTGAACGAGTGGACACAAGAGGGATGATCGACTTATACACTTACTTCGGCGACGATCAGCACAGACGAAGAATCAAAGTTCGGTACGTTGTGGTACACACTAACACTTCGTACAATATCCTGTTGGGCCGACCATCTTTGAATAAGCTCCACGCCATCGTTTCCACACCTTACTTGGCCATGAAGTTCCCTTCGGAAGAAGGAACGATCGTCACCCTACACGCGGATCAGAAGACGGCGCGTGAGTGTTACTTCGCTAGCCTCAGAGTTCAACCCACCCCAAGGCCAAGGATGGCCCGAGATGTCAATATCATTGGAGATACCAGCCAACGTAAGCTGGTCGATGATCTAGAACTAGACCCCAAAGTGACAGATGAAGGTAGGGTCGAACCAATTGAAACAACGATTCCTTTCCAACTAGGCAAGAATGAAGAACAGGTTACCTTTTTGAGCTCTCAATTATCTGAAAAAGAGGCCGAGGATATTAAGCAAGTCCTTCGGAAGTACTCAGAGTTGTTCGCCTGGACTGCCGCTGACATGCCGGGAATCGACCCGAGCTTTCACTGTCACCGTCTCTCAGTATGTCGAGACGCCAAGCCAATCGCCCAAAAGAAAAGAAAAATGGGTGGAGAGAGGGCCGAAGCAATAAAGGAAGAAACTACCAAGTTACTACAGGCAGGGTTCATTAAGGAAGTCAAGTACTCCACATGGTTAGCCAATGTGGTGATGGTCAAAAAACCAAACGGTAAATGGAGGATGTGTACCGACTATACTGATTTGTACAAGGCGTGTCCGAAGGACGCGTACCCCCTACCACACATCGAGGCCCTAGTTGATGGGGCGGCTGGCCATCAAAGGTTGAGTTTTCTTGACGCGTACTCGGGGTACAATCAGATACCTATGTATCCCCCGGACGAGCGAAAAACCACATTCATCACGGACTCAACTAACTTTTGCTACAAGGTGATGCCGTTCGGATTGAGAAACGCGGGGGCAACTTATCAACGACTCATGGATAAGATCTTTCGACGCCAGATAGGGACTTGCATGGAGGTATACATGGATGACATGGTAATCAAGTCCGCCTCCGCCAAGAATCACTTAAGAGATCTCGTGGCCGTGTTCGACGAAGTAAGACGCTATCACATGAGACTAAACCCGGCGAAGTGCACCTTCGGAGTTGCTGGCGGAAAGTTCCTAGGCTTTATGCTATCAAAAAGAGGCATAGAAGCCAACCCAGACAAGTGTTAGGCCATCGTCAACATGAGAAGCCCCCGCAATGTGAAGGAAGTACAACGACTAGCTGGGCGCATAGCGTCATTGGCCCGGTTTCTCCCATGTATGGCCGAGAAGTCAAGGCCCATAATGACTTTGCTGAAAAAGGCCAGAAAATTTCAGGTGACCGAAGAGTGTGAAGCATCCTTTCAAAACTTCAAAGTAATGCTCACAGCGCCGCCGTTGCTCGCAAAACCCGACCCTCAGTTAGACATGATCGTATACATTTCTGTATCGGATAAAGCTATCAGCACAGCTCTAGTACAAGAACAAGCTGAACAAGTGCCCGTCTATTTCATCAGCTGAGTCTTGCAAGATGCCGAGACTCGATACCAACATCTGGAGAAGATGGTTCTAGCTCCCGTACACACGGCCAGACGTCTTCGGCACTACTTCCAAAGCCACCGAATCATCATCAGAACTGACTGCCCAATTGTAAAGGTACTACGGAAACCCGAGCTAGCTGGGCGGATGGTCGCATGGTCCATTGAGCTATCGCAATTTGACATTCGTTTTGAACCAAGGGGGCCCATCAAGGCACAAAGCATGGCCGACTTCATTAACGAATTTACTCCGCAAGCAATCCCCGAACCGCTCGTTTGGACTCTCCATGTGGACGGGTCGTAAATCAACAAGGTAGTGGAGTTGGCATCATACTTGAAGGTCCTGGCAGAGTACTAGTGGAACTATCATTACGGTTCGGCTTCAAAGCCTCCAATAACCAAGCCGAGTATGAGGCCCTTCTCGCAGGCTTGAGATTGGCGAAAGACTTGAGTATCACTAGAGTTAAGTGTTGGAGCGACTCGCAAGTAGTGACTGGCCAAGTCAACGACACTTTTCAAACTAAGGAGCCAACACTACTTCGGTAATTCCACGCTTTCCAGAAATTAAAAGATAATTTTCAAGAGGTCCACGTCGAATATACCCCCCGGGAGTTCAATGCGAGGGCTGACTGTCGCCACCGGCCCGAACGGGCCTCGGCGGTCGAAAATCTTCATTCTCTTTAGCATAACCTTCGCTTGTGGTTTCCTTAGCAATGTCGTTTCAAATGCCAATCCTCTCCCATATGAAGCCATTTTCAACTTTGGTGACTCTATAAGTGACACTGGAAATGCTGCTTCTCAGCATCCAGCTATGCCTAGCAATAGTCCTTATGGTTCAACATACTTTAAGCATCCATCTGGGCGTATGTCAAACGGGCGACTAATCATAGATTTCATTGGTATTATGTACTCTTATTTTTTCTAGACAACTTAAATACAATTTACTTGTATGAAGGGGTTATATGAAACATTATATCTTAAAAATCACAAATTGTTTATTACACTAACCTATGATATTTTTAATTGTAGCTGAGGCATATGGGTTACCAGTGTTGCCACCTTATTTGAGTATCACCAAAGGGCAAGACATTAAGAAAGGAGTGAACTTTGCATATGCTGGTTCAACTGCACTTGATCAGAATGTTTTCAAACAAAAATCAATGAATGTAGAGGCAGCTGCTTATTCATTGAGTACTCAACTTGATTGGTTTAAGAAGTTTAAACCCACCATTTGTAAAAGCAAAGAAGGTTTTACCAAAACTCTTAAGTCATTTTTTTCCAAATATTTGAAATTTTTTCAATTTGATTAAATCTTATTCCTTTCTATGACAGAGTGTGACAGTTACTTCAAAAACTCATTGTTTCTAGTGGGAGAGATTGGTGGGAATGACATCAATGCAATTATCCCACACAAAAATATAACAAAACTTCGGGAGCTAGCTCCGCTTATTGTGGAAGCAATTAGTAATACCACCATCGTATGTTATATCAAATTTGTATCTACTTCAAATTTAATAGTTTAATTTAACTTGGATTTAAAATACGCTTGATTAGAAATTGAATTTTCTTTTCCTTTTGCTAGCAATTAATAGAAGAAGGAGCTGTAGAGCTAGTGGTACCAGGGAACTTTCCAATTGGGTGCAATTCTGCTGTTTTGGCAATCGTGAATAGTGATAAGGAATGCGACTATGACCAATTTGGGTGTTTAATAGCTTATAATGGTTTTATTGAGTACTATAATGAGCAACTCAAAAATGCTATAGAGACATTAAGACAAAAGAATCTGCATGTTAAGATAACATATTTTGATTACTATGGTGCTACCAGACGTTTATTTCAAGCACCACAACAATATGGTGGGCTGTGATTTTAATTTCTTTTATTAAATTAATGACACGTAGTTCAATGTGATTGCTAATTTTTCTAAGATTTATTTTTATCATATTCATTAATTTATGTGTTGCAGGATTTTCTTCTGGTAAGATTCAGACTTTCAAAGCATGTTGTGGAAAAGGAGAACCTTACGGTTTTAGTGCTCAAATATATTGTGGAAGTTCTGCTGCAACAGTTTGCTCAGATCCTTCAAAATATATAAACTGGGATGGACCCCATTTTACAGAAGCAACATATAGGCTAATAGCAAAGGGTGTAGTTGAGGGTCCTTTTGCTAATCCTTCTCTAAAATCCCCTCCTTTCAAGATTGCTTAGAATTAAAACAAGCTTTCAAGAAAAATTACTAAGAATAAGATTATTTTTTACATGTTTTTGTATCCATGGATGACACAAACAAAAAAAGCTAGAACAAGGATTTTGTATTCCTCAAATGACAATAAGTTATTAACTATTGAATAATTATAATTTTGTATGTTTTTATATAATATAGAAGATATGATTGCATGTAATTGCTATTGTTCAAGAAAAAAAGAAAAAATAATAATAATAATAATAATAACAACAATAACAACAAAAATAATTATAATTATCATTTTTATTAGATGGAATAACAACAACAATTGCTCTTGCTCAAGAAAAATGAGAAATAAATATTAATAATAATTATAACAACAACTAAAATTATTATTATATTTATTAGATGGAATAATTGATATTTTTAAGACATTTAACCTAAATTTCTTTATATTGGTATGCTATAAACATGATCTATACATTATTGCTTTGTAATGATAACAAGTTTGATGGAATTTTTAATTTTTTAATAAAAATATATTTATTTATGTATTCACCTTAAATTTTACATAATCATTTGCAGCAAGCTTGTCCTCAACTTAATTCTTATCTATTCCCATAAAAGTCCAACATAAGAAAAAACTAGTGTAAACTTCTATAACAGAAAACAACATATATAAAATTGAAAGCAATAATTATCTATATCATCATGAACAACTTTTCAACACATTGTAACCTCAACATAAATATAAAGATACAATGCCTTAAACTAGATATACAAGTCACGATACAACTATACAACTTAACAACTTCATATTAGATAAGCAACTCAATAAACAACTTGGCAACACAATAAAAAAACTCAATATCTTTATGCATCATCCCACATTTTAGCTTAGGAGATCTTTTACAAGACAGGTAAGTAGTTTAAGTGGCTTAACCTACTAAACTAACAACACAAAGACCTTTCTTATATGGGTCATAACAACACATGTTTGGCTTACAAGTCGTAATCAATATATTAATAATTTTTCAAATTTTGCCACTTAAAATAAGAAGGTCTGGTACTACTATTAAGAATAAAACATGGGTGTGAGCCAACCACGACATTAGCATTTATAAACCAAGCCTATATGGGATTAGCCATTCGCCTACCCTCCAAATATAGGTCTCCTTGTAGCACTCGATTAAGGATTTTGGCCCCCAACTTCGTGCCTTATTCTATTGGTCACTTCTGAACAAATATGGTTTGACACTATCTCCACACTGTATTAGCTAGAACCTAAAGGAAAAAACTTTTAAAATGAACTTTTTACTTCAAGAGCCAACTCTCTTGTTAAAGGGATTTCATCAGTAGGCTCTTAGAGCCCCACCGTTCAAATTCTCACAATGGGATCTTTCAACATAAAATACAACATTTTTTCCTCTAGTTCAAAAGTTTAACTCACATAGCAAAAAGCATGGATCATAGATAATCAACATAGACAACATAGTACACCTAACTCAACATCATATATACATCGTTCATCATCTTATAAAATTATCTCTTCAACTTTATCCACGTTTCATCTTAAAAATTCTAATATCACATCTTTATATTATAACATTTTTTAACTTGCCACATGTAATAATCAATTAATAACATAATAGACCAAAAATCTCGACATGATTCAACATTAGAAACACAACTTAAAAAAAATAGGGTAATGAAACTAGTGGAGTAAAAGACATTTGGATCCATTCAACTATCTTCATTGCTTCTCCAATCTTCATCTACAAATTAAAGCTTCAACATAACCAAATGAAAATAGTGGAGAAGGTATACAAATGGCACAACACTTTCAAGAGAAGGATAAGTAAGACTGAGGAACTTGTCATAAGGAGGAAGTCCTTGATAAAAGTTTTAAGGAGAAAGTTGCCCAAGGAGAAAACTAGAGCATTTGAAGAGTAAGGAACTTGCCTTACTCTATTGGTCACTTCTTAACAAGTATGGTTCAACATTGCCCCTACACTATATAAACTAAAATCTAAAGGAAATAACTTTTTAAAACACATTCCAATTTAGGAGCCAAATCTCTCATTGAAAGGTTTTCATCATTAGGCTTTCAAAGCACAACCATTCAAATCCTCACGATGGGATCTTTCAACACAAAAAACAACTTTTTTTCCTCTAATTCAAAAGTTTAACTCACATCACAAAAAGCATGGATCATGCATAATCAACATAGATAACATAGTACACCCGAACTTAACATCATATATACATCATTCATCATCTTATAAAATTATCTTCAAATTTATCCACAATTCATCTTAAACAACATAATATATCATCTTTATATTTTAACATTTTTTAACTTGCAACATGTAATAATCAATTAATAAAAACATCAACAAGATTCAACATTAGAAACACAACTTTAAACAAAAATCAAGTGATGAATCTAGTGGAGTAAAAAACATTTGAATCCACTCAACTAGTTCCATTTCTTCTCCAATCTTCATCTACAAATTTAATCTTCAAGATAACCAAACAAAATGGTGGATAAGGTATAGGAATGGCGCACCACCTTTAAGAGAAGGATAAGCAAGAGTAAGGAAGTTTTGGTAAGGAGGAAGTCCTTGATAAAAGTTCTTAGGAGAGTGTTCTCTAATAAGAGAACTAGAGCTTTTGAAAGGAAAATTTGAAAATGAAATTCTCATGTATCATAAAAAATGACGAGTACACGAGGATGTGAATTTATAGAGTTTAATAACTTGTGGTGAAAGTTAAGCTAAACAAGATTACATGTAACTTAGATTAGGTTAACTTGTACTTAATTCAACTAACTCTAGTTAAAATTTGAATTTGAATTTACCTCATAAAAATGTCACTATCCTATATCTAAAAGAGTCATTAATAGGTTGCCACATGGAAAAACACAAAAGGTGTGATGAGAGGTATGTTAGTAGAAGTAAACATGTCAAAAGTGTGACTAGTGTGCGAGACATGTAACTTTGGCTTTGTTTGATCTAATGAGATAATGTGTTTGACTACAGACACCACTCTTTCGTGGTTCAAAAAGTTCAATAAGCACACCTCCAAATACTATTTGTACCATTTTTAATTACTAAATGCACCCTATAAAAGAAAATTACTAAGAAATAAACTCCTACGTTATTTGACACAAAAATACAAAGTCAAAAATAGGAAAAATATTTACAAGGAAAATATATACAAAGAAGATGTGCACTAAATGATTAAACTGTAGCTTAAAAGGAACTTAGGCCTTCTATCTTCATTCATGTTGAAACTATCACCTTATAACTCTTGCTCTTATATGACTTACTTGAAGATCCACTACCATGTTTCTTTTTATAGTTTTCGTTTATCAACTTCTTTTTTCTCTCAACTTTTGTATTTATTCTTCTAATTGAGCTATGATCATTTCTCTCTCTATTCTCTCTTTTTCTTTTGCTATCATTTCCTCTTCTCTCCATAATTTAAGTGATTTTAGTTCAACCATGATTTTTTAAAGGTTTGATGGTAAACAAGAATCACTTCCACTATGTGAAAGGAAAATACTCATCCTAAGACTTATGGTTGTCTTTGAAAAGTACCATCAACATAGTGGATAAAGATCTATTAACTACTTTTATTCTCCCATCAGTCTGTGGGTGATTAGTAGTAGATAATACAAGTTCCATTCATAGTCTCCCCCTGAGAAATCTCCATAAATGATTAAGCTACATAGTATCTCTATTAGACACAATTGATTTGTATAACTCATGCAACCTAACAATCTCTCTAGAGAAAAGTCTAAAGATGTTATTAGTATCATCCAAAATAAGCCCAGATGGATGATTAAGTTGAACCATAAGGACTATAGCTAGGCATAGTTGGATGGTGAGAAATAACATTCCTTATGTCACTTATAGAGTCACCAAAGTTGAAAATGGCTTTATATGGGATAAGATTGGCATTTGAAAAGACATTTTCAAGGAAATCATAAGCGAATGTTATGCTAAGGGAATGAAGATTTTCATGATGTTGCTCTAAGACAGGGCAGACTAACTTATGTGTGATATATGCTTAAAAATTATAATCAAGTGTTTTATATAATGTAACACCAACCAACTCGATGTTTTTATTGTATGATTTTCATTTTAATTTTCACATGGTTATAAATATTTTGATTCTAAAAAGGTGACTCGTGAGTTGTAATCCAAGACATATTTGTTAGAAAAGATAGCTTTATCCAAGAAGGGGTGAATTGGATATTTGAAATTTTTATTTTCAAGATCTTTAATTTTCAAAAACTTTTCTAAAATCTTTCCAAAAATGTCTGTTGATTTTGATAGTATATGATGGAATGTTGAGATTGATTTCCAAATTTAAGAACAAATTATAAGTTCAATCCTATATGATATGCAAGATTTAAACATTCAACATACTTTAAGCATCCATCTGGGCGTATGTCAAACGGGCGACTAATCATAGATTTCATTGGTATTATGTACTCTTATTTTTTCTAGACAACTTAAATACAATTTACTTGTATGAAGGTTGGCTAAGCTGGCAAGCAGTAAGAAGAACAGCCATTTGCGAAGTATCATGCAACAAGAGTTGCAAGCGCCAAGTGTGGAAACGACCGAATGTTTGCACATATAGCAAGGAGGAGACAACTGGATGACCAGCATAGTACGTTATCTCTCCACCGGAGAATTACCCAGTGAACCTCTCAAAGCAAGGAAACTAAGGGTCGTGGCCGCCCGGTACACGCTGGTCGGCGGAGAACTATATAAGCGAGGCATATCATCACCCTTGTTGAAATGCCTCACGCCCGAACAAGCGCACTACGTCCTTCGGGAAATCCATGAAGGAATATGTGGGACACATTCAGGAGGACGAACCTTAGCTGCTAAGGTAATCCGCACCGGCTATTACTGGCCGACCATTACAATTGATTGCATGAAGTTCACCCAACAGTGCAAGCCATGTCAACAGCACGGTTCATTAACAAACTTGCCGGCCAAAGAAT